ACACACATTCTCTTGTCTATTGATGGGGAGCGCCACCTACTGGAAACTGGGTCTAGCGTCCCATGAACATCGTGAATAAAGCACCAACCGGGACCCCACACACTCTCTTCGAGTTGTGTATAGCGAACATGACAAAACATACATACAGCATAATCACTACCTTACCCTTCCCAAACCACATAAACAAATGGACTATGGGCTGCGCACCCGTGCTCTCACGGTAAGTCAATTCCCGGACTACTGGACCATTGGAGTCCAGATTCCTTATTGTTCATCAGGGGGTCCGCCCCCCATGGACATATCTTTCTGACAGGGCTAGCCTGCCACGAGGTGTTACGCCCTCTAGAAAAGAGGCCCAAGGACTCTACTCGGCAGAAACAATTGGCCACTTTGCCCTTGTCAAATTGCCCTTGCCAATTGATACGTGCCCTTACAGATCATGCATATAGCTGTCGTTTTATCCAAGGACCTGCTGGCAGTGACAAAGTGGCGGTCACCACCTTTTCCAGGGAAACAGTAGGGACGGGCCAGAGCTGGAGAACATCTCACGGGCCAGGCCCAGTTGGTACACGCATGAAGTGTTGAAATTCAGTCACGAGTTCAAATCCTATCTTCTACAGATGAACCCACTACAATTCTGAATTACCTGGCACCGGTCAGTTCCACGATCATATCTCAAGAGCTGGAGAACTCGCGAACACGCGAACTCCGCGAGTTCTCAGCTGCGCGACTGTGACCAGCTCACGAAGGGGCCACCGGTCCGGGCCGGAGGTCGGTAGGGCCTACCCCGGGCAGGTTCTCAAACGCAAGGCAGGTCATCTGCTCGGGGGACGGTAGGCGCGAAAGGAGGCCGGCGTGTGGGCATCTGGTTCCGTACGGCAGGGTCGCTGAGGCAACGTTGCGCGGGGATTCCGCGTTTTCGCTTCTCTTTCCGCCGCTCGCCCCTTTCCCGTCTTTCGCGCGTCGCGCGCTGCGCGGGTTTTGCGCTTTACGCTTCGCTCCCTGAAGCGCCGAGAGAAGAGCTGGGAGTGTAGTAAGCACCTCATTTCCAGTTGGCGATGTTTTCCTGCCCACCATGGAGCTCCCACCGCCGGTGGAGGAGCTCCTACCGGCTTAGCTACGGGTGAAGCGAAACCGGGGGGCAAAGGCAGAAGGGCCGGGGAGGGGTTGGGGTGGGTGGTAACGCGAGGCGGAGGCGGTAGGACGGGGCGGGGGCGCGGGCGCTCGCGCCGTGTCCGCGCGCATCGCGGTCAAGCGTGGAGCTTGAGAAGAACCCGCCGCGCGACACCCGATGGTCGACCTTTGGCGGGTGTTCGCGGCCAATTTTTGGAGGGTGGGAGCAGCAGCCACGGCGGGAAGGGGAAGGTGAACAGGTGGCGGGAGATTGCTCCCGGGTACGGCGGTCTGATGATTGGCGGGACGGCCGAGTGGCACACGCGATGGCGCGGAATAGGAGGAGCAGACTCGAGGGCTGACGTGGACGTCAAAGATTGTCGTCCGGAGTTGTGCGCGTTGTGTTGATTTCGGGGCAAGCGGAGGCAGCAGGCGCGGGATCTCTCTCTCTCTCTCTCTCTCTCTCTCTCTCTCTCTCTCTCTCTCTCTCTCTCTCTCTCTCTCTCTCTCTCTCTCNCTCTCTCTCTCTCTCTCTCTCTCTCTCTCTCTCTCTCTCTCTCTCTCTCTCTCTCTCTCTCTCTCTCTCTCTCTCGCTTTCTCTCTCTCTCTCGCCCGGCCCGTTCCGTGCCACGACCCGCCTAAGCATGTACAGGAGCACAAGTGTTGACGTTATACTTGACGGACGTAGATTTCAATTCTGATTGATTGTCAGCGACGCCAGTCTCTCTGGTTCGTTTGCATTGGCAGCCATGGCTGGAACAGGGCCATTCGGGGGTGGGAGCGGGGGGTCGGGCTCCAGGGGAACGTTGAGGAAGGGCCAGAACACAACGGCAAGAGCTGCAGCAGCCAGGGTGCAGAAAGTTATGGCGTCCACGGGAGCCTCTTCTCCGGATGATGAGGACGATGACGGACCTTTCAGCGGCTATCCCGGCTATGCCGGTGGGCTGCCCATCGTCCGCACAAACTCCCCAATGGTGCGTCCGTTTGCTACTGGCTCTCTCTCTCTCCTTGCCTACCGTCCTACCGCATTCCTTTTCTCTGTCAGCGTGTTGCCCTCTCCCTCTCTCTCATCCTTTTCTCTGCCAGCGTTTTTTTCTCTCCCTCTCTGTCTCTCATTCTCTTTCCCTTTGACCGTTTGCTTTTTCCTCGCCTACGTTCCAGCCTCACTCTCTGCCTCTGTGTCCGTGTTCTTCTCTCTCTCTCTCTTTCTCTCTCTCTTCTCTTCCATTTTTGTCCTCTCTGACGCACGCTGTGTGCTGAGCCTTGTCATCTTATCACTTCTCGTTTGTAACTGTTCTCCCCTTGCGGTGACCGTCTTTCGGTTTTTAGTGTAAGTTTTCGGAGGGACTCGATCCGTGTACTCGTCTGTACCTAAACCTACTGGGCTAGCTCCTACTTGGTGACCGGTTTTTAACGTGCCTTACGTCTTGTTACTATATAGAAGATCCTCGAAGCATGACATAGAATTTTGTAAGGCATGACATAGTATTTTGTAAGGCATGAATTTTGTAAGGCATGACATAGTATTTTGTAAGGCATGACATAGTACTTTCTAAAGCATGACATAGTACTTTCTAAAGCATGACACAGTATGTTCTAAGGCATGACAAAGTATTTTGTAAACGGATTACACAGTGCGTCACTTCGGTCTCGGCGTGGAAGAGTTCTAAAAGTCGGATCTTCAGCGGGGGATGCATCGACAATCGTTACCTCTCTCTCTCTCTCTCGCGCCGTCTTCGTTCTCTTCTCATGTCGCTCGCGGGCTTTTGAATTCCCTCTCTGCCATTGATTGTCTGTTTGTGTGTTATCTGTGCGTTTCTCTGGCTTTCCCTCCTTATACTGTATGTCTGGGCAAACCAGCGATTACCTTTGGTGTTCCCTCAGAGGGACCAATTTGCGGGCAGGGTAGGCGAACGCTGCGCGCTCTGTTTTTTTTTTTTTGTTTTTGTTTCTTTCGTTATCTTGTTGAGAGTGGTTGCGCGCTCTTATCTATTACAAAATGGTGCTGACGGAAATTTCCTCTTGGTCAGACGATTGGATAGGATGGTGATTGTTGGAAGGTGCCACGTGGGAGGGTAAGGTGGGGGGGGTATGTGGATAGGTAGAAGAAGTATCCTTGCCGATGAACCGATGTCCACTGAGGGAGAGGAAAAAAGGTGAGATAACTGCGATACTTGTTTCCTTTTTTTGGGATCTCGACAATTGTACTGATTGATGGAGAATGCGTGATGTGGCCAGGGTGCAGGAGATTGTGCCCACGCATTCTCCTCCTACACTAACGTAGTCGTCTCCTCAAGCCTACAGATTTGCCTACCGTCTTCGCCCGAATAGAACGCTTGGTCATTATCACTGCATCTGGACTGAAAGTTGTGCCAAATACCGCTATAATCACTGGGCGTTCTATTCGGGTGAAGACGGTAGTGGCACTTTGCCATGATTGATACGCGGTGTCTACGAGGCGGTCGACTAAGAACTTGAGCAATCACTAATTGCCACTGGCAGTATAGCTCTTATATGCTTTTCGGCAGTATAGCTCTTATGTACTTTTCAGCAGTACAATTCGTGGCATTATTGAAATCTACCCAAACTAAAATACTCTAAAACAAGTGGCCCATTCTCGCTCAAGAAAGGCGCTTTGTAATGTATGGCTTGTGTGTCTAGGGGGTTTTCGGGGTACGTTTGTTCTTAATGGGCATGTGGGAATGGTTGTGGCATTTGTGCGTTTTAGCAATTCGATTTCGCTGTCTGTTCTCTTTTCGTCCGTGCGTGAGTGCGGGTGTGTGTGCGTCTGTGTCTTCGCGCGCGCGCGCGTATAGTGGGGATGGTGAGGGTGGGGATGATTTGATTACCTCCCGCTCCGCTGCCTCCTTAAATCCCCTGGCTTTCTGTCATTTTTGTTCTCGGTCTTCTATTTCCTGTGGATTGCCTTTTAAGAAAACGTTTTCTTTTTCTCTTTCTCGATTGCCCTCTAATTACTATCCATTTAATCTTTTTTTATTTTTAAACTATCCTATCCATTCTTTTTTAAACTATCCTATCCATCTAATCTGATCTAGAAGATTTGATATTCATTCTATCTGTAGACGTCATGTTTTCGATGTCTCCGAGCTTGCATGTGTGTGTGCGTGTGTCAGTCGTTCCTTCTCTTAGCCTTTCTTCACTGCCTTGGCTCTGTCTCGCTTATTTTCGTCCCTCTCCCCTCCCCGCCCTTCTCCTTCTCCTCGCCTCCTCCTCTCATTCTGTAGCCCTCATCTTTTCGTTTTCTATGACTCGTTCGGATTTCTAGGCTCGATTTTTTTTTTCATTTTTTTTTTTTTCACTCTCCTTCGTCCATCTCTTTCTCTCTCTCTCTCTGTCCCTCCCCTTCCCTCCCCCTCCCGCCCTTCTCTTCCTCTCCCTCCCTCTCCCTCTCTCTCCCTGCCTCCCTCTTCTCTTTTTTGTTGTTTCTTTCTCTCGCGTTGGGGAACTCTCTTCGCCTGGCTCTTTGCCCTTCTCGTCCTCTATCAACTAGTATGTGCGCGTGTTTTCCCGTGCATCCTTCTCTTGGTCTTTTCGTTTCTCTCTCTCTCTCTCTCTCTCTCTCTCTCTCTCTCTCTCTCTCTCTCTCTCTCTCTCTCTCTTTCTCCTCCTCCTCTCTCCGTCGCCCAATTTTTCTGTGACATCTCCCGCCCCCCCCCTCCTTCTCCTTTCAGTCCTCTTCCTCTCTCGGGCTCTCCCTCTCCTGTTCTCGCTCAGCTTCCTCTTTCGCTGTCCATGCTCTCTCCCCTGTCTGTCTTTGCTCTCCTTTCCCCCCCTAACCTCTCTCTTTCTCTCTGCACTCTGCCGTTTTCCCCCGAACACAACGCACCCTCACCATGACTCTATCGGAGCCAAAACATCGCCTGTATTTGTTCATGATGACGGTGCGTTGTACTGGAGGCAAGACGTACTTTGCTTCCCTCCGTGTGCTTTTGTTCATCTCTTTCTCTCTCTCTTTTTTTTCCCCTCTCTTCATGATAAGGGTGCGTTGTATTCGACGGAAGAGGATGTGTATCATAATTGTATCTCTCGTCTCCACGTATTCATTGGCGAATATCTTTTCTGGGCATCTTTCGCTCTTTCCACCGTCTCGCTCTACCCCTCTACATGTCACCTTCTTTTTTTTTTGTTTTTTTTGTTTTTACACGCACTTTCTCCATCTCACCCTTACAGTATCTTTCTCTCGACCTCTCTTTCCCCTTTTTCCCCCTCTTGTCGTCCCTCTGAGGGCATACTCACGCTAGGATGTTTTTGCTTAATTTGTGGTGGTAATTGCGGTCCGATTCATCCGGATCTGGCCTTAAATGCGGTCGGATACATACAAGATAGTGCTAGTGTGTGTACGCCCTGACTTCTGCGCACTCCTTTCCGTCGATGGCCGTGCGTGTCTCATATCCTTTTTTTTTTTTCCTTCGTTATTTTGGGCCATTCCATCCATCCCCACCGACTGCCGTTGGTCCAGCCTGTGTATGATTGTCCAGACTATGGTTCACTTTCGATTACCGTCCTGTCAACCACGTTCTCCCTCCATCCTCTCTGTGTTTCTTACTCCCGCCTGTTCTTTTTTCTCACAATGCGTCTCCTCTCTCTCTCTCTCTATATATCTTATGGATCTTGTCATGGCTCTGCCTCTGCACTTCTGCTCGCACCCTGGATTACATCATCATCCATAATGAATCGGAGCTTATATTGGGGTAGAGCCCCCTATAGCGTGCTCGTCTTATCCTTCCCTCTGTCACCGAGCTGAACTCATTCCTTGTCTCATGTCGAAAATATCCTTCTACGTGTTTTATTCGGTTACGACCCCTTTCTCTTCCGCCATCTCTGTTTTATTCGCTGACGACCGCAATATAAGCTCATGTCGTCAGCCAACGGCAGATGGCGTAGTAGGTGCTGTCTATGTTCAGCCCTGTATTAACGATCACCTCTCGCTCGCTTCTGGTTTCTTTGTCTCTAGCTGTCTATGTTGACGTCTGTTTTATGCGTTCTCTCTCTCTCTCTCTCTTCCCCTCCCTCCCCGCTCCCTCCACTCTCCCTCCCCTCCCTCCCCCTCTCCCTGGGGAAAAAAAAGCATGGCGTTGCTTGCTATGAGTGTGTTGCTCTCGCGGTTCACGTCAGCTGGCAACACCTCGCATGGAACATGTGTTTCTCGATTCTCCTTCTTTCTCTACACCTCTCTCTTTCTCTCTCTCTCTCTCTCTCTCTCTCTCTTTCTGTCTCTTGCTGTCTGCGTTCACCCTCCAAAATGAGGTGTGCGCCGATAAGGTGGTGGCCTTGCCGTCAGTTCCACAACGTTTTGGTGTTTTAGATGAGATGGTAATTGCTTGTGGTGGCTTTGGAGCCTCGCTCCACGGCTCACCAGATATGCACAAAGACAAATTCTGGCGATGCATCTTTCCATGTTCTACATGTAGCTCATGCTCCTTTTGTTGTACATTTGATGAGTGGGGTGGAGCGAGGCGCTTGATTGTGCGGGCCCTCGATTGTGGGTGAAAGTCGTTGGAATTCACGAAGTGGGAAGCGACCCAAGGGTCCCCGCCGCCTATGTGCGTGTCTTCGCCAGTGCGCTGCGGTATGGAGCGATGAGGGCCCATAGTATAATAATCAAGCGCAATTCTTCCTCAGCAAAGGGGTATTTCCTCTGGACGGCACCGCTAGAGAACACCTCGCAGTGGCTGGCTGCAACAACAGCGTGCGCTAGAGACAGAGCTGTGGTATAGCGGAGTCGAGGATGTGAGCAATTCGACTGGCGAAACTTGGTCTATACCCGTCTTCCCCCGAATAGAACATACGGTCAGTATATCTGTATTTTGCGCAACTTTCCGTCCTCATGCATCGATAATGACCGTGCGTTCTATTCGGGGGATGACGGGTACTTCGAGAAGATGCACGCCTCCCTCCCTCCCTCCCTCCCTCCCGGAGGCGAGCAGTTTGATTGCCGAAACGTAGTCTACCC